TGGGATTGTTTTTGAGAATTCTCGAAAAAAATCTCAAAACCATCTGATATTAGTACCCTACCGGCCCACTACTCACTCTAGCGATGGAATCGCCCCCCAGCACACCACCTCGCAAAAGGGGCACCGAGTTATCGGTTGGTAGGCGCTATGCCATGGCGGTAGAAATTGCGATGGGCATTCAGCCGGGGTTGTCAACGATTCCCAAGGGCGTGCTTGACCCGATCTGCGAACGCTACGGTGTCGGAAAGAAGTACCCGTCCAAGTGTCTTGATTTTAGTGTGTGACCCCCAAGTGTCTTGGTTTTAGTGTGGCTCACTACTATACTGCTTTTATTATAGGAGGCGCGACATGGATCGTTGAGTAGAGGGGGGGGTTGGATGAGGGCCCTACTGTTGCTTGCTTTGCCCCGCAAGTGTCTTGGTTTTAGTGTGGTCCCCCCAAGTGTCTTGTTTTCAGTGTGGGGGCCACTATTATGCTGCTTTTAGTATGGGGGACGCGTCATGGATCGTTGAGTAGAGGGGAGGCTAGGTTTAGGGTCAGGGATAATTCTTGGTATTTTTGCCTTGTTTTTGTCATTGCCCCGCCCCCCCCGCTTGGTCGCCTGGTCGGAGGGGGCAGAATACATGCAAAATACGGCCTTTTTCAGGCCGACTGGTTTTTTCTCGGGCGCTCATGCACGCGGGGTGGCGCATGCATAAAAATAAAAATAAATGTTTCTTGCTAAAAAAACTACGAAGATTTCAACAAAAAAATCGAAAAACAGATCGGACACGGTTAAGGGCCCGTACAAATTTAGGTACCCTAACTTATGATACAGAGGAAGTAACTATCCTTCGGATCACAAAACAGTAATAGCATCAACAGAAGAAAACTGTACCCGTCTACCAAGGCTATTACCTAGTACTCGAGTTCGTTTAGGAGTACTTTCACCAGTATCCTCCTTGTTTTCGCTACCATCATTCGTGCATCATTCTGATCCTCATTTTGACAAGAAGAATCCCTGGACAGTTCTTCCCTAGCCCTACGTTTCTTGTTGCGGGGAAGGTCATCTGGCTCAAACCCTTTGCTCTCTTCCACTCCTCCAAGTTTTCCTGCTCCATCGTCGTCTTCGTCCTCCTTTCTTCCCTGTGAGAACCGGCACTATTGCGGGGCGCCGTGGTACCTAATCGGCCCTATAGAGGGGACGACCTCAATAGTGCCGAACCGGCACTATTGAGGGCGCTTTCTGCGTCCAGAGATTTTACCGGCACTATACCGGGCATCGACACTATTCAATCGGCACTATAGCGGGCCCAGTACTGTATTGGTCAAAATATATTTTGGCCTGTTTTAAGAATATTTGAGAATATATGCAAAAATAAATAAATATATTTTGGGAATTGTTTTGAGAATTCTCGACAAAATTCTCAAAACCATCTAACATTAGTACCCTACCGGCCCACTATTCACTCTAGCGATGGAATCGCCCCCCAGCACAATGTCTCCTTCCTTCTCCTCGCTGCCTCGGCAAGGTTTTGCGTAGGCATGACCCATAGCGAGGGGAAGGGTCTTTCTAGCGAGCAGGGCTAGACTCACCCTCAAGGGACCGATACCTTCTTGCTGCGGCGCACCCGCCGCGAGGCGTGCGTAGTGGTGGAGTTGGGTCGGCACTGGTGCGTCAGGTACAAAGGTGCAGATGCGCGGGCCTCCAGGCCGTCGGTGTAGGCAGCAATGCCCATCTCATCCTTGTGCGCGGAGGCAGACGTCATCAGAAAGGTGGACGGGCACAATGTACACGGCCCTAGGTTTGCTAGAGGGAGCTGTACTGTCTCAGTAACCTGGTTTTGCCATCAAAGGAGGAGCGGACAGGTGGTGACGACCTGATTTGGTTGCCCCTTCGGCGCGAGATTTTTTAGACCAAGCACCATAAGTGCACAACGAGGGAGAAAGCGAGGAACCGACTGGGATGGACAGCAACGAGAGCGTGTACGAAGGGAGCGGGTCGAGTTTGGTCGTGCTAGGACTGGCCACAGCGGCACCGGAGCAGCGGCACCGGAGCAGCGGAACCGGAGCAGGCGGACGGCATCGAACCGTGGCGCACGGACAAGCATCTCTTGTGTTATCAATTATTTTCCCGTTTTTTTCCTGAATACAGGTGTTGGGTGTATGTGACGACGTCACTGGTTTTGTAGAGAGACGCGGCAGAGATGGCGCGGATAATCCTGGTGCTTTTAATTGTGTACCTGCATCGTGGAAGACCCCTTCAATGTGGAAAGATTCCTAGTCAGTGTCGATGTTTACACTGCTGTGCCTAACACAGATGATCTGGATAGATTCGGGTGATTTGTCAATTGCAATGATGGCCTTGGTTGGGTGTTCTTCTTCATTGTATGTCTACGGACTCATTCTGACAGCACTTCAGACAGCAGCTGCATGCCCCGAGCTTGTGTACCATGCACCATGGGCTTGTTCCGCGGTAAAGACGAATAGTTTCCACGAGTTTTTCGATGAGCAGCGAGAAATGATTCCCAACCTCTTAAAACAACATCCGTTAGGTCACGAGGATTACGAAGATGTACTTGTTTTCCCATTTGGATGTCGTGGTGATGACTTATTGATGAATGAGTGGCCACGATTGGGTGAAAATCGCGTCTGCGGGCCCCCCAAGCAAGATGCAAACGCCTCCGAATCGTATAAATTTTTCAGGTTAGAGTAATGTTGTGTTGTACATAAGAATCCGTCGTCAGAATTTCGACCAGGATCGATGCGGCCGTGGTACAGCTACCCACTGATAAATATGCGCGAAAGCAGGGATAACCTGGAATTACTAGGAATCACACTGAAATATCCCCCCTCCCGCAACACTTTCCACGTGTTGATTCAATCTCTCCTGACTTCGAATTAGGGTAATTTTGGGGTGAGGATCACAAATGTATTGCTGGAATGTCCCAGTTTTGAGTAGCAATGGACTTTCAGCTGCTCAAGAGCTGACAGTAGCTGAGCAATTTCAAAATTCCTGGGATTTTGGATTCTGGGTTCCACGTGGTCGAGTTTTTGTCTGATCAACTTTCTGAGTGGCTTTAACCCCCCTAAACCGGCCAAGCGGAATCGATTGCCGAGGAGAAAGGAGGCGCCCAAATCGGCAACGCGGTGAAAAAAAACAACCAAGGCGATCCGATCACATTTTTTTTGTTTTTTGTTTTTTTTGTGCTTTTAAACTTGTTTCAGACATGTATCCAAAAACGGTTTTTTATGAGTTTTTCCTCGCCGCGAGAGACAATGCGTCTTTACCGCGGAACACCCCCATGGTGTTATTATTGTACAGACAGCGCTTCAGACAGCAGTACGCTGTAGTCGACATTTATTTTGGTTGAATGCGTGACAAGGGGGGTGATGCTGCTGCTGTAGTCGATTTGTAGTGTGTGGGCGTGTAGTTCAGTTGTGAGCATGCAAACGTGCTGCAGGAATAATTGCAGGTAGGTGTACCTCCTCGGGCTTGCGTACCCTTTTCTTGCTAAAAGTATGTGTGTTTTTAAGATCTTCTGATGGCTCTAGCATTGTTGTGACCACGGACTGAGTCTTTGCTAGATTGTGGGATTAGCAACTGACACGCGTTTAATGTGAACAACAACAACAAACAACAACAACAACACCTCGCAAAAGGGACACCGAATTATCGGTTGGTAGGTATATGCAATGGCGGTAGAAATTGCGATGGGTATTCAGCCGGGGTTCTCACGGATTCCCAAGGGCGTGCTTGACCCTATCTGCGAACGCTACGGTGTTGGAAAGAAGTACCCGTCCGAGTTGTGGAAACGGGTCAAAACCCAGATCGACAACACCCAGGAGCTGGACCTTTCAAACGAGGAACGAAGTGGGCGGCCGTCGCTTCTCACCCCTTCAAAGATTGCGGCGCTCAAGACAGTCAACAGCCAGAATCGGTCATCCACCCTCCGGCAGGTGTCCGACCAGCTGACCGACCTCGGGCTGGAGTTCGGTAAGGACACCGTGAGGCGGTGGTTCAGCAAGTTAGGGGCGGCAAAGAAGGCTGGACGCATCAAGCCGTCCCTTTCCGACGCCCAGAAGAGGCACCGAATGGACTTCATCTCCGACCGGGTGGACGAACCGATTGGGGAGTACCTCGACCAGGGAAACGTCGTCCACCTGGACGAGAGTTGGTTTTACCTCATGAGGGAGAAAGAGAAAGTTCGAGTGTTCTCAGGCGAGGATGTCCCGGGGCCCCCTCGCGTTCCACACGAGAGCCACCTTCCAAAGATCATGGTCATTGTGGCAAACGCTCGCCCGGACCCTGCCCACGACTTCGACGGCAAGATCGGCATCTGGCGGATTTGTGTCATCGAAACCGCCCAGCGATCGTCCAAGAAGAGTACGAGTTCGACTGCACCATCGACGCGGAGTGGTACAAGGACTGGTACATCGACGGTCTTCTGCCTGCGATCAAGGAGAAGATGCCTTGGCTTCGTTCAAAGCGCGTGGTAGTGCAGCAGGATGGCGCGAGCCCCCACACGGNCGAAACCGCCCAGCGATCGTCCAAGAAGAGTACGAGTTCGACTGCACCATCGACGCGGAGTGGTACAAGGACTGGTACATCGACGTACTTCTGCCTGCGATCAAGGAGAAGATGCCTTGGCTTCGTTCAAAGCGCGTGGTAGTGCAGCAGGATGGCGCGAGCCCCCACACGGGCAAAGGGAATCCAGAGATTCTCAACTCGGCGGGGATAGCGCGGGGGTGGTTGGTAGAGCTTGTGACTCAGCCTGCCCAGTCGCCTGATTTAAACATTAACGACTTGGGCTGCTTCGCATCTCTCAAGCCAAGGGTGTGGGGGGTGAACGCGTTTTCGATAGACGAGTTGGTGTAGACTATCTTCGAGCAGTACGAGGAGCACGTTGGAACGGGTGTGGCAAAGCCTTTTCAAGGTTTACAACCAAACACTTCGTAAGATGGGCAATAACGATTTAGTGTGAAACACACCGGGGTGAGCAAGCGGCAGAGGGAGGGAATGTTAGAGAGTGTAGAAAATGCGATCAGGAGGCTTCGAACAAGGCTTACGCGTGGGCGGCATCGAGTCGAAGTGATGACGAGGAAGAATAGTCGACTTTTTTCTTTTTTTTTTCCCGCCACCAACCAACCCTTCTTTTTGTCCCGCAAGTGTCTTGATTTTAGCGTGCCCCCCCAAGTATCTTGGTTTTCGGGACGTTCACTACTATACTGCTTGTAATATAGGGGGGGCGACATGGATCATTGAGTAGAGGGGGGGGTTGGATGAGGGCCCTACTGTTGCTTGCTTTGCCCCGTGTCTTGGTTTCAGCGTGGTCCCCCCAAGTGTATTGGTTTTAGTGTGTAACCCCCCAGTGTCTTATTTCAGTGCGGGGGCCACTACTATGCTGTTTTTAGTGTGGGGGACGCGTCATGGATCGTCGAGTAGAGGGGGGGCTAGGATTAGGGTCAGGGATAATTCTTGGTATTTTTGCCTTGTTTTTGTCATTGACCCGCCCCCCCCGCCTGGTCTATAACCCCCCCCGGTGTTTTACCATCGGGGTTGGGTTTTCGTCGCTTGGCAACGACGTTGTAAAACAAGCC